TGCTATAAGGAGGTTTCTACAGCATCCGACATCTGCTCTAAAACTTACTGTGGCAATATAATCTCTAGACTGCATGTACAAATTTGATTATCTGGAACTTCCAGAAATTATTTCCATCTGATTAAATCAGGGACTTTATCTTCAAGTATTGGTGTTGTATAGATTGACCAAAATCTTAACTAATGTCAGATATTACAGCCTATAATCACAAGTTAAGTGGAAGATGAAGGAACTTAATGGCAAACAGAAGAACTATTTCTGGTATTGTCTTAGCAAGTGACCATTTAATTCAGGCTAAAATGGCAGCAACCAACAGATCTGAAATTTGCAAACTTCTATCCAGTAACACTTCTGAGCTGCATTTTATTTTAAGCAACCTTAGTACTAATCACTGTTAATGGTATGGGGTGTTGTTGTTTTTTTAATTGCCAAGGCAACATAAATAGTAAAATATGTGGCATTTTAATGGATCCCTTTGCAATCCAGAGTGATAAGACTTTAATGTGGCATACAAATTTAAAGTGAGATCACTGGGTAATGGGGTACATATGGTGATCCTAAAAGAAAAGGTTACTGTGGAGAATAATTAAAAAGCCCTTTTAAAAATTATTTTTGCTGCTTAGGTATTAGTTTTAGAGGTAAAGAGGGATTTACTTTTCATTACCAGATGTATTGTCACTTTAGATTCTGCAAATTTGTGGTTTAGGAAACTATTATTAAAATATGTCTTGACTGCAATATGGAAGCCTCGGCTTTGATAGGACTGTTCCATACATATCTGAATCATTTTCCTCTGAGTGAATGACCTGTGGAAGAAAAAGGAAGACAATGAGATTAGCTATAAATCTTCTGTAGTGCTTTGAGAATTAAAGGACAGGCAAGTGACTTAATATTTAGTACCCAATTTCATCCATTTTTCCTTTTGAAGCACCTAACTTTATTTCAGGTCAGTTAAGGACGGTATCACCTCTAGAAGAATCCAGTTCTCTTTTCTCTGTAACAGATACCTGTTTTTAACTTCAATGATTGCATCAACATTTAATACGGGTGAACCTATGCCTCACTGCTTAAATTTTTTATCTGCAGATGACAGCCTCAGATACAGATGTATGATGGTTAATTAATGCATAGGATGTATGGCAATATACATTAAAAAGTACCCAAAATTATTATTCCCCATTACAGTTACTGAGGTAAGTGCTGATATCATAACATACAAGAAGAAAATAGTGTTTTGTTCTGGACAAAACTCAGTAGTGTTTTTACAGCTAACATGACGTGGAACTACAAAGATTCAGTCACTGGAATTGATCTTTTCAACCCATACTAGATGGGTTCTAGATTTCCAATCAGATATGTTTCTCTCACAAAGACAAAGAGAAACTAGAAAACAGTTTAATCATCCTCTGTCTTAAATCTGTTCTAGAGACTAGAGAATATTTCATGAATTTTAACAGTGAATAAATGGAAGCCTGAGAATACATCTTCTTCATTTTATTTTGAAGTATCAAATAAATAAAACAGAAATAAATATAAAAGAAATAGCTGCACGCCCCTAAGCATATGCAAAAGAATATAAATCTACTAGTAGTCTTTATTTCCAAAATGATTCTGAATTCTAGCTGCAAATATTAATATTTGTATAGCAAAAATCTATCAATGACAGTCTGGTTTTATCATGGGATCAAAGCTAGACTATTAGAACCAAATTCTTGGTTGCTGACACCTATATATATATATATATATATATATATATATATATATATATATATATATATATACATTTGATTAATTTGTAATGTGGAGTATAAATGACTATTTTTGGGGCTTTTTTTCTGGTGCAATGACATAAGCCCCTTATAACAGGTATGGAAAACAGAGTTCCATCACCATGAAACAGGTCCTGTGAAGCAGCTGAATTTTAATTAAATTTACCTAACTAGTGTGATAAAATGGGGAACCTCCAACACCATCCAAAGAAACTTCAGGGCCATCAAATGTGCTTCACAAATAATTGATCTCTACTGTTCAGTTTTGTCAGATGGATAACAATTCTTCATAAAATAAGCATTCAAAGATTCATAGACAAGTTGAACAGAGCCACTTTTCTGAATCGGCTTTCAAGCAATTTCTTGGGTCTGATCTTTAGAAATTTTGGCAGAGAAAAATCTCCAATTATGTTAAAAAAAGCAAGTTTTTTGTCTTTCTGTTTTCACTTTTCTTCTTCTCTCAAAATTTTTTTGGTTGTTATTTTCATTAGAAATTACTCTTTTTGCCTAATGAGTGTAATGTTTGTTCTACTATTCTTTCAATTTCTTTTTTGGAATAGTCACCGTATTCCAGAGTTGAAGAGAACAGCAGTTAAATGTAATACCCAATCATAAACTCACTTTCTAAAGTAAACATCACTGACATATTATGATGTATGACATTATTGTACTGTATTTGGCTGAGACAGACCTAATTTTCTTTACAGTAGCAAACATTGGGCCGTGTTTTGGATTTATGACCAAAGCACCCCTAATAATTCAGGGATGCTTTAGTTTGCTGCTCCAGAGTAGAATAAGGAAATGTGCAAACAATCTCTTTGGCAATGTCGTAGATTCACACTGGATTCAGATTTTTTTCTGTTGGCTGAAGCCACTGGATAATATACAGATATAGAACATTGGTGACTACTGGATGTCTGTGAACCACGTATATATAACATGCTGTATATGGATTCCAGGACACGACCCTTGTATTTTATGCTAAAAGCCAAGCCTGCACCACCTGATTTCCATGCATGACTTTTGTGACAATAAAAAATGTATTTTTAGGGTCTCAGTCTGAATGAAAGGCTGTATATCCATGTTTGCAGCCACCCTGAGGAAAGGGCCTTTCTTCTATTTTAATTTCTTTTTCTAAAATACAGTAGTAATGGTAAACAATAATTGTGATAATAAAAAGGAAAAAAAATCTGAAGTCATGCACAATTACTCACCACCTGGTGACTGATGCCAGACCTCCCTTATCAAATCCAGACTGGCCACTGGTAACTCCCCTCAGTTTATACACTGGCATGAAGTTCTATGCTGTGGAATATTCCTTTTGGTCAGTTCAAGTCACCCATCCCAGCTATGCTTACCCCCAGTTTCTTTTGCGAACCTCCTCATTGGCAGAGCAGGAGCCAAGGGGAAATGTCCTTGACTTAGGATAAAGATGGCTTAGCAAAAACAACACCATTCCCAATCTGAATCTAAAACACAGCACTGCAGCAGCTACTGGGAGAAGCTACCTCTACCCTAGGTGAAATCAGGACAAAAACAAAGTTTGGCCTTAACGAAATTGAAAACCCCAACAGAAGTAATTCAGTTATTTTCCCATCAAAACTAAATGCCAATTAAAGTTTTAAGACTTGTTGAAGTAGAGACATTCATCTCTACTTGCACAGATTTCCTTTTCTCTGATCTGCACAGCCCACCCCTGAAGTGAGATGGAGCCCAGGGGCCAGGCTGTGGGTGGAGGCTCTGGGTGGGGCTTGTCAAGGCCATTAGTGCTCATTAACACCTGCAGGTACTCCCAGTCACCCTCTTTTTCATAATAATTATGCCTCCAGCTGCAAAAAGAGCAAGAAAAATCACTAACAAGTATATATATTTTATAAAAGCTAAAGTATTACAGGAAAATTTTGTGCTGGCTTTGAGTAAGGCAGCAGGAATATGGGCAAAATCTGACAGGTAGTGGCTGACCATCTGATTTTTTTCTTATATGAGAATACTGATTTGGTTAAGAGAGCTTTATCTGCCACACAGCAGATGAATAAAGACAAAATCTGATCTGTTTGACTAGTATGAAAGCATTATACAGATTTTTGTCTGTCCTTTTCTTAGAAATGAATATGTGATCATGAGGAATCAGGTGCCCCTTATTTTGCTTTTTTTTTCCTCGAGGTAATAAAAGAATGCAGCATGCTTCTTTTTTCCTCTGCAAGTAAACATATTGATGAACCACTTCAAACAATGCTAATCAACAGTGTGAGAAGCCTGCAAGATAGGACATTGACAGGCAAGGTACTATTACTAATTTATTTGTCTCTTTATGGTTCAGTTAGAGGAATATCTCAGAGAGTGCAGCACATGTCAGTGTTGTCAGATGTTACACCGTAGCTGTCATAGTTTTGACTGATGTACAAGCACTACCTGCTCATGTTTGCCCTTCCTTTCTGTGGAGTGCACACAGGTAAGACAGCTTGTTGGTAATTTTTTATTCAATGCTTTCAGTATCTGCAGCTGCTCTTTTGCTGAAAGTTCTGACAATGAGAGATTCCACCCACCAAGATTCCCAAGCTTTCCACAGCAAGGGTTTCATCATGTAAATAAGGTTTTCCTCTGAGATTAGAATATGACTCGCATTTTTTTCTGATGCCTCGTGATCTTTGCTATAACTGTTCGTGTTTTCACGTATTAGGAAATACCAAAAGAAATGAAATCACAGAAATTAAGGGTGCAAATGGTTTTACACTGCTCAAGAAAAGGTAATTTTCTTTTGAAAAGTTTTTTTTCTGAAATAGACATATCCTAAACCTCACCTTACACTGACAAGCACATCCTAATTTGAAGATTTATATGCAAAAAATGACTGCAACTATGTGTCCAAGGAGGTCTGACATTCACAGACTTTAATCCTTTCTCAGACACAATTGCTGGTTAAAAAAGGAGGCATTGCTGTTCAGTGTGCATAACCAGATGAAGCCTCTAAACATGGCAAACATTTATTTCTCAATATAATAGACCAAGAATGAAAAACAAGAATGTTTGTGAAAGAAGGGGTGACAAATAATCTTAGGCTGGGAAGTCAAATAAGCTCTGTGAATGACAGTTCATGTTGTGGTGAAGGTGTTCCAGGAAACAAAAGAATGTTGCTCCCAGATGCAGAAGTGAAACCTTTTCAAAATGTAAAAAGTCATTCCAGACAATACAGAAAATTTTCAGTATACTGTCTGTAGGCTACTTCTCCAGTATGGTCCAGCCAGTGAATCCTAGGAATTGAAGGAAATATCCATATGTTGAAAAATGTTTTAAAGCATTTTTATCTAACTATGGAGTTTAATTTGGAACAGAAATTCCCTTTTGCTGTATTTGTTCATGTTTTCCCCCTCCCCATCTTTTCATCTGAGCAACTGGCTCCACTCTTAGCTCAGCAAAGGCCAATGGAGCAGAGAGCACATGGGCAGCATTTCTCACTGATCACTCATTTACTTATTAAAAAGTTATAATGGGTGGTGTTGTGCAAAATAAATTTTATTTCTTTTCCTCCAAGAGATTTAAAAATCAGTGTGTAACATAACTTTTAGAGATAGTTTTCTGGGGTTTTATGTTTCTGTTTAGTGTGGGGCTTTTGCATTTTTTTTTTAATTCTGTAATACCGTTTTTGTTATTCTGAGACCATATTTGTCTCACCAGGAGCCACTTTTCACTCAAAGGAATGTGGGGTTCAAGGAATCATAGAATCTCTGTGGTTTCTATGAACTCTAATGTTTTCAGGATATCTGCTGTGAAAATTGTGCATCCACAAGAACCGAAGCTCTCTGGCAATCCCTGGAGGTAAGCAAGTCTGCATTTTGAAGTGTGAGTAGGAACAGTGATGAAAACATGAACATTTTTGTAACACATGTATGCAGTTGTATTGAAAAATTTATCCACTCTCTGGGCTGCTTCTAATAGCAATGTAGGATGAAAAGGTGATTGGAAACATTCATATATGAATATTAATAAAGAATTAATAATATCTGTAATACTGGCAAAATTTGGAAACACAGAAGAAGAAAAGACCAAGTTTGACCTAGAGTTATAGCTCTTGCAACTCAGAATGGATTTTTTTTTAATGCTAGCACGATAATCTTAATTTATATGTATTTGCTTAGCAGTCTGAATTTTCTTCCTTCAGATGTGAAAAGCAGAGTAACAGTATTACAATGTTTGAGGTCTTGGTGTCTTTCATTCCTTTCAAAAACTTTATTGTCTTTTATTTCTTGAAACCTTGGTAAGGCCCTGATTTTAATCTCTCACTAAGGCCAGCAGTGCCTTCACTTGATCTTTGTTCTACAACAGCACCTCAACAAGTGCTTACATTTCACTGAAGGAAATGCAACATAAGGATATGTTTACAGTTAAGCCCAAATTCACATATATTTGGGAAGGAATGAATCTACATATATGCTTAAGTGCTTTGTTGAAATAAGTCCAGCAGAGTAAATGTATGTAAAGATAACAGAATATAGGAGAAAATCCTCACCACACGGAAACTGAAACAACATTTCTAAGCTGAACACAGCTTTACTGCAGGATTCGAGGGTAAAAACATAAACTGAGAAGCCATCCTTGGCAAATCTGAGTGAGCTTTATGTGTGTGTATCTCTTTTGGTGTCTTAGCTGCTAAATACATATTGGTGTTCAGCTGAGTTGAAATTTAGAATGGCATATTTTGAAGGACCTTAGTAGAGATGTCTTACTCTTTAAAATAACCTTTTATTAACAATAATGACAAATGCAACATTTTAAGATGAGAAACTCAGATATTTCAAAATTAATTTTTCACATTGAAAAGGAAATATTAAAAAGTTTTCCTTAAGCCATTGCTATTACTCTCATTAAATGTATATTTTTTGTAATATTCCTGGGACATCTTGACTATGAATAATTTTAGAAAGAAACAGTGTCACAGAAGCAAGGCTACTCAATGAAAAAAGACTGTAGACAATGATGTGTGCTAAAACAGGGCATCTCCACTAAGAATTATTATAAGTGACTTTATGACATCATTGTGCCCCCATTGCTTAGGTAAGAAACAGTTATGTTAAATCTTTGTTGACAAAATAAAATTACAGAAGAGCTGCACAGCTGCATGTGCATTATAATGTTCTGTGAAGTAAAATATTTCATAGCCATTTTTTTCCATAATGCACAAGAGAAAGCTTTAATGATAAAAGTTTTCACTGGAAGTTGTTGGACTATTTTCATTTAGTCGTAATAAAATGTTAGCCAAAAGCTAATGTTAATATTGGCAGGAGGAATGTTATTTCTGTGGAGGAGGAGCAGTCCTGCAGTATGTCAGTAAGGTGTGTCTCAAGATAAAGGCTAGCAAAATTCTCCAAGAAAGGTGATACAACAGGTGAAAGCCTGACTGCAGCCACTAAAGCCCAATTCTTCTCAGTTTCCAATTGATCAGAAAGATTTCAGGTAGATTTTCCACCATGTTGTAGGGCACAAAACTTTTTGTCTGGCTATTCAGAGTGATTTCTATTATTGCTGGCATACTGATGTCCAATTTAAAGGCTAAGATGAATTTTAATGGCATAAGTAAGGAAAAAGGAGAGAATTCAAGACAGGGCTAACATAATAGACTATTCTTTATTTGTAAATGTCTTACTAGATATGTTTTATGAATGACATCTTCAAGGCAGCACATTCATATCAGTTCAAGTATATAATTAATAATAACAAAAACAATACTAGTAATAATAATAATAGTATTGAGGCCACTGTAGGGGAAAATCCTGCTAATTCTAGTGCATGTAGGTCTCTCTGAGCCCCTTCCTGCCTCACATATAGACATATTTCTATTAAGATAAGGAGACTGTGAGCTCAGATCTTTGTTCTAAACCAGCAGCTGCTATGATTAGTGTGGGTTTTGCGTATCAACTTCATCCTGTATTAGAGGTATTATATTTTTTATAATTCTTTTGGTATATGCTCATTGGGAATATGTCCCTTGATTCTTTTTCCAACAGCATATCATGGCAAGGGCTGCCAGGAATGCCACAGGCAAGGCAGCCACAGAGCTAGCAAATTCTGAGCAGAGCTGTATTAAGGAAATTCTCTCCCACTGGCACCAGGAAGCTGGAATTCAGAGAAGGCCATCTAAAATAATCAAAGCATTGAGAAATGAGATCTGTAAGCAATGTTAAGAGAGATAAACATACGTGCTTTTCAGAAGAACTGGTTGAGTGGGAGGACAGGGAACATGAAAGCAATTTTACATAAAAACAGAGTGTAAAAATAGATATTCTAAAAGGAAAAAAATCTTGATTTAATTATCTGTAGCTCACAACAAAGGAAGGAAGAGTCCAAAGCCTGCAGATCTACACAGGTGGTGCTATTAAAAGTAGAATTTGTTCACTGCAAACAGTATGGAAAATAATAATATATTATAAAACACAAAATAAAACCAAAAATGCACATTACCTACATAGATATAAACCAAACACAGACACACATATATAAGATAGATATATAAAATGTCATATTGTGGGTTCTCAGGATTGCATTTTTTATTGTGTCTGGCATTGTACCAAATTAATTTCTCTAAAAATATTGTACTGTTTGTCCTCTCTTATTTCTGTTTACATAAAAACTTGTCTTGTATTTGTTTATTGTTACTGAATAGTCTACAGGTTTCTTTTTCTATTCTAGTAGAATGGTCCATGGAAAAAACCCTTTGAAATTGGTTAAAACTCATACAGTGTTTGGACATATGAATACACTATGTGTAATAGAATTCAGTAATATTATTAATATAAAATGATGAACTGTATAACTGTATAATTTAAACTCTGGGATTAACCTATCATTTTGCATTTTGAGGGCATTTTTTCTGCTACATTTCATGGGGTTTAATGTCATCTTAATATGTTAGATTATCATTTGACCAGTCAATGATTTTCAATTGATATAGCTTTTATTAAAAGATGAAAAGGCAGTTCTTATACATACTATTTTTATGTGTTAGGTTACCTTTTACAATGTTTTTTAATGTTCACACTTAAATTGCAGAATAAATCTATCAGTTAAAAATGGGAACCAATTTTTTAGTTTGTTTCTTTTCAATGAATTGTGATTACATGTGATTTTTATGACATTGATTCAACTAACGAGCTATTGAACATCATCTTGAAATTTCAGCATCAGTGGAAAACAGGTTTAGCTTGTTTTTTTGCATGTTACAATGAACAAAAATTCTATCTCCTTAAGAGAAGTCCAGAATCTTTACTCTCTCTGAATATCTCCCAATGGTATCTGAAACATAGCTAGCACTCCCTATATGGAGATTAAATAAAATAAAATTTATCCTCAGATAAATATCAGATGGGGATCCTAAGACCCCCTTCAGGATCCATAAGCAACAGTCGAGAAAATACCTTCTGTGTATTAAAATCAGAAATGTAAAGAGATGTAAATGCCCAAGAAAGAAATTTGATATTTCATATAAGTAAAACTACACAAATCACATGTAAGAATATACATGGAATTTTTAGAGATATTTACTTGGCCTGCTTCCAATATTTATTTGATGTTGCCTTAAAGAATTTGCATTGGTTCAGAAAAAAATATCCAAAGTTGGTTCTTTATGTAAATTTCTGGCTGGAAGAGAGTACAAAGTAGTGACAGCATTATTTGTCAATGTCCTCCAGTGATTGTTAGCAATGCATTCTTGCACATATTGTTTCAGACAAAAAAATTAGTATTTTGCATTAGCAGAGGATAATTAGGCAATAAGATACAAAAGAGAGTAGGGTTATCATGAGATAAACACACACATGGGGTGTTATGAGGCACAGCCAAGTATCTGCAATCCCTCCAGGGTATGATTATCTCGTGATAACCGCACACCCTGGAGTTGCCTTATTGCTATTATAAAATATCTTTATTATAGGAAGAAATGCACATTTTTGTGCTGAAAGAAGATGAAGGTGGCAATTTAGAATGCTGAACAGCAGTTTCAGCTGAGCTGTGTGGTTTACATAGATTAATCTATCCTATTGGAATGTTTCTTCAGCCAAAAAAATGTTCCCTAAATCCAAGCAGTCATAATCTGTAGTGATGTGCAGCTATTTGGAGTATTTGACAAATTCCCTCCTTGGTTCTTATGCTGTTCATTTGACTGCAACATACGCACACAACAATACAAAGAGATGGAGAGGTGTGAACAGGACAGTGAACATTCTGAATATTTAAAATATTTCTAAAGTCTGGATTTTTC